TCATTGTACATCATTGGCATTTGGCTCATTCAAGTTGGTCTGTTAATAACAGCATTTGGAAAGAAAATAATGCTGCCTTCTCCGAAGGATTCACACTGTAATCTCCTGGATTTATTATTATTAAAATAATACAATAATTCAGCTTGGAAGGGACATATGGGATCATCTCATCATCTGGTCCAACCCACAGCCCAATGCAGCCCCAAATTTGAAGTTGGCTCTAATTTCAAGTTCAGATAAATTGCCTAGAGCCTTGTCCAGCTGAGCTTTGAGCATCTCCAAGAATGGAGATTTTGCACACTCTCTGAGCAACTTGTTTCATTGCTGATTATCACCACTGTGAAAAAAAAACTTCCCTTATATTGTCATTGAATATTCCAGTATCTACTGATCACAAAAATGATGAAGAACAAAATACTAGTACTCTACTCAAGTCATATTTTCACAATAAACTTACTAGCAAAGATATTAAGCATACAGAGTTACTAGGCTGAGAGAGAAGATGGGTTAAACACATACTTGTGGAACATACTTTATGAAAGGAAATTATTAATATTATGTGAAGCCTGTAATTGCATTTGGTGATCTGGCAGGTATTTCTAGGCCTGTCTTTGCTGAAAGACCTCAGAGGGTCCTCAGATTACTTGTTTATTCTTACTCTCTAACTTGTTCCAAATGGATTTTAAAGTCCTTTTTCTAAATTACTGACATGCCTGCCTGTGAATTAATCAAGCTCATTATTCAGTGATAATGCTCTCAACTTCATGGTTCCTAGAACCACGCCTTAAATGTTATCAAGGGTCAGTTTATTCCCATGTTACAAGAAAAAAAACAGTGCAAGGCAATGTACTCTTTCACATAAGAAATGTTCCTACTGTTTGTTTTTATTTGAATAGGTGAACAGCATCATATGATTCTTTCACAGGGTAAATGGGTTGGCCAGGCAATTTGGGCTTTTTGCGGGATCATGCTCTCCACTCAAATGTACAAATCAATTATATGACTTCCATGCTGAGAAAACGCATTAACTTTTAAAATGAACAGCAGCAGCCTGGTCTTAATAAAAATGTTTAAAACCCACTCTTAAACCATAACTCCAAGTTGCAGCTGAATATGAAACATCCATTTGCAGCCAATTACACACAATTTCTATCATCCTTTGGAAGATATGTATACGAATAGGAATATTAAAAGCCAAAACCCCCACAACTCTAGGTGAAATAGGGAAGATTTTAAACCTTCCAAGATATGCTTAGGCAGAAACGCAGTGAGCTTTGTAACTTAACAGCAGGCATCTATTGAAAGCATGCACAGCACATAGGTAACGCTTGGCCTTCCATATTCTAGAAGAAGAACTGTTACAATCCAAAACTTGCCATCCCAGGAACAACACAATCTATTAAAATGATTCATTCTCAGGATTTTCTTCCATAGATGAAGAATAACAAGAGAATTAAGCCTGGGGCAAAACCTGACTCTTCCAGTGTCACAGTAGAACCTCTCCTACCTCCAGTGATGAAATAGGCATTAGAAAAATCTAAAAATTTGCATCAAATCCAGTGAGGACAAAGACAAACTCACTTAAATCTTAGTGTCACAGGTACTTGTGCTTAAACTGTAGGAACAGCTTTCAGTTTAACTAGTTGCACAGTTGGGATGCAGGAAATTTTTCGCAAGACTAAAATTAATACCTATATTCAAGGTCCTTCAACATAATTGCTTATTATGGCATGTTCCACTGAAGCACATATTCACAGGATGCAGTTCTTCTTACTTTGGAAATAAAGGTTTCCAGTGGAGAGTTGTTCCCATTTAAAATGTTCCTGTCTCACAGCAGGACTCCAGGATACTTTTGTAATTCAGATTCCAGATGAGAATTATCATTTATGGTCAAGTTCTCAAAGAACAGGGAATACTGAAATAACAGAGAAAGATGCATGTGTGCATATGCATTCATATGTAATCCTAATTAATACATTAATTGGCAGCTGCAAAGAATTAGTAGGATGCTTAAACACCAGCTTTACTTACCTTATTGGTCACAATTCCTCCGAAGTCTGCAGCTATAAGCCAGAGTGTTACGAAAAAAAATCAGCAAAACTCATCTTGCTATAGAGATTTGTTCTTGTTATTGCTCCTCAAAAACCATTTATCTTCCATATAGTACATCTAGATTTATAACAACTTAACTCCTCTCATAAGCCTTCCTTTTCTGATTTTCTAGAGGAGTTTTCAGTGTCTTTTAACCTTTGAGAGATGAGTGAAAGCCAAAGTTTTCTGTCTGAAAGTCCTAGTAGTCTCCTCTGATCAGACTACAGTGGGGCAGTAAATTTGGTTATGAATTATCCTCCCGTCCAGAAGAAGGCAAGCCCATGCTCAGGGAGAGATTACGCTCAGCTAAGTGAAAATTAAATACCATTAGATCCCATTTGAAAATGGTCTTTATACATAGAAAACTAACATAATGGAAAGCAAAATCATTGGTGGGAAGATATATCGTCTGCTAGTGTGCATTAATATCAGAAGTCTATCCCCCTATCTTCCCACATTTTTGTTCCACTAAATTATAAAAACAGCCAATAACCTGCTTGAGAAATGAAGTATCCACCAGATGTTTCCTGAGCAAAGACAACTTGTGTTTCCCTTTACACCTCATCTTCTGAGAGGCAGCACTACAGTGATTGCGTATCTGACATCATTCACTATGTTGACTTTGGGTTACTCAGAATCTTTCCTTTACTTTACCTTCCAACTCAAATACAATAGTTTTACAGAGAGATCACATGGAAAGAATGGACTAGAACACAATGTGGAAGAACAGTTTATATTCACTTCGTTACATCACCGCTCCTTATGGAAACAAGGGACGGGCAACCAGTCATCCCCCAGAAGAACCATTCAGAATAAAATATGCAAAAATACGTTTTTGTAAGAGCTGGTAATTTTAAAACAAAAGTTCTATATGAAAATAGATCCAAAGCTCATTATGCTTTATGGGAAGTCTGATTATTGCACTTTGGATCAGATGCCTGTTTATTGCCTGAAACTACAGCATTTTTCTAGTTCTATTTGGCTAGTAGGATAACTTCATTAGTTCCTATTAATCTGTAGAGTGCAATACCTACTGATCTGTTAATAGGGTGCGATATAGACGAGAGGCTCAATCAACATCAAACAGAAATGCTTCATTCTTATTCCAACAACCCCGTGTTTACAAGAAATCACTCTAAAAGAACAAACTTTGAGCTCCATTTTTAGGCAAGCTGGTGGAAACAGAAAGCTAACTTTCAGGTGTTACATTAACAAAGAGCATAGGAAGGGGGGGTTCTATTTTTTTAACCCTCTGCATCACAACTCAATGTATAATGACTTACAATTTTCACAGCAGGTAAATTTCTGTTGAAGCTACCCAGGAAAGTTCATGATGCAGTATTTAATCAGTCAAGAATAAAGCTCTAGAATGTTTTATGCACATCTTTACATCCAAAGACTGAAAAATACCAATGCTTTCTTTCTGGTCATAATCTCCCATTTAGACAAAAAGCCAAATCGCACAAAGCTGGAATTGCTTTCTTGTCCCTAATAATACAAGATAGGTGTAGCAGCACACACTTAAATAAACCGAAGTGTCACTGCATATTTAGGTCACTATGAAAGCCCATGGGGACCTAAATTTAACAGAAGATCTGACGTTGCATCACTGGTTAGCTGCTTGCAAGTTTTCAGTATCTTCTGCTCAATCAAATGTGGTTTAATTTGGAAAGTTGCGTACAGCACAAGAAAGGGACTGTGCAATGGTTTTAATAAGGATAAGTGAGCAAAGGCCATGTATTCTATACTCTCCATGTGGGGCCTGTAGGAAATCAAGTTTTCAGCAAGATTGACAATGGAGCCATTCAGCCTCTTGAATGCTCAGTTTTACTGTTCCAGCCCACTGCAGACAAATATATATGTTTTGATGACAAGTAGCTATAATGACAAAGATGCAATCATGTATTTATGAATATAAACTGCTTTGACTCTTTCTCCTGCTTTCATTTCATTAAAGACTAAACAAAATTAGAGATTGGTTGGAGAAAAAGTGTGAAAAAAAATTACCTCATCTGTACATGACTCATCTCTGTGCACATACTCGGCTCACTAGCTACACATTTCTTCTAAACCTAGAAACTCTAAGGTTTAAGTAGGCTTACAATTACAGATAGGTTTTGTACTACTGAGGTAGAGAGGTCAGTTTTGTTCAGAAGGAATTGGAAATCAATTAGTTTGCATCATTGTTGCAGGAAGATTCCTCCTCCGCTAGTCCACTTTTTAAATTCTGTTATATCAAGTCTAGAACAGTTTCTTTTGCTTTTCTTTTTGAACAATCTACCTAGTCCCACCTTTGCTGCAAGACATAACTTGTATCCACAATCTGTTGTTCAAAAGCAACTCTGGTGTTCTTGTGATTGTTTCTGACATTTGAATTCCTACATACTTAGCACGCTGCTAAAATGCTTTTTGAATTCTCAAGGTAATTTTTTTTAAACACTGTCAAAAAAAGAGATTTGAGAATTGATCTACTCGGGTAAAACAACATCATATTCTTGGTATCACGGAGATAAATAATTTTCAGTACACATAAATAAAAGTTTGGCTTCCAGTTCCAGCAAGTGCACATGTACAAAAATTATGGAAAGTTGAAGAGAACTATGCTTCAGAACTATTCTCTCTTGATGCCTGTTCTTCTGGAAAAAAAAAGTGACAGCTAAATTTAATATGGATTGAAAGTTGTCTGGCACTCTAATACTTAGTTCAGTAATGGTCTCTAGGTCAAAGACACTTGAAAAATGTCTACACTGCTGGCAAAAAGCTCTTCAGAACACATGGAATCCTACTTAGTTCTCATGAATCCAAGTTATTCTTTCAAAAGTGTTTAAAACAACCCATGGCATCAGCCTGCCATTTGTGACCTGCCCAGCATGGCCACTCTTAAACATGAGACAGAACGAGAGCACTGCTTGGATAGAATAATGATTTATTGGAAACAAACATTTACACAAAGTATAAAGGCAACCATTTCATCCATTTCTTTTTTAACAAGACAAAGCTACCCTATTACAAGATTTGTTCAGTAACAGGATTAGATTTAGTAACGGTGCAGAATATTTTAAATCCCTGAGATTGAGGCCCTCTCACCTTTTACACAACTCCATCCTCCCCCCACCCTGCAAAGGTGCTGGATACTTAATTTCCTGCTCAGTTGTGCTTTTAGTGGGTTACCATCCAAAATTACAGTTTCATTCTTTACATCAGCATGAAATTTAAAAATGCAAGCAAGACCAAGTTTCACATCAAGTTCATTCAGTTGCAGGCATCCAGTTCAAAATTACTTCTGATTTAAAGTTGGTATCCAAGCTGCTTTATAGAGAAGGCTACTAACGCTGACGATATTACTTGTTCTCTTTAAATCAGACATGGAATCCAACTCCTCCTTTTTTTCTAGCTGGACACAGCTAATGGTTTTTACTTTTCATACAGGGGTATTGAGATGTGAATGCAAGGCTTTAGGCACAAGTCCTTTTATATCTGGACTTAAAGCCATCATAAGGAAGCTTAGTAATGCAGAGTTCCAGTTCCTACCGCAGACTTCTTACCTATATGTCCTCAGCATTTTTTAAGTTTATAGCAGGCAGACAAACCTGGGTAGCAAAAGTGTTTCCTCCTAAGCAACACAAGTTCCATTATTCAATTTCAGTAGGAAGCCACCCTGCAAGGCCACAAAGGCAGATCCAGGCATGCAGAGAATTTTCAGTGCAAGTTCAGACATTTTTCCTATAAAGATCATTGTCTCTTGTCTGAGGAGGTAATATTTCACTCAACAGAACTCCTCTGGCTGACATGACAATCAATCTAAGCAAAGCATGGGGTACAAGGCTAAACTTAAGTACTTTCAAAAGGATGCAGCTGATGGTGTTACCTTGTCAGTGTCTAGCTCTGCAGATGGAGATGGAAACAAAGATCTAATAAAATTAAAGGCATAAACCAACTAAAATAAAATAATTTCCAATATTAGAGGTAGATTTTATCCAGTGTAATATATAACAGCCACTCCTGTAAGTGTTAAACAATTCAGATCAACTTTGACCTATGTGCTCTTAGAATAATTATGGCAAGCTTTTTGCATATCCTTCAAGAAAGCAGGCACACCACTCTGAAAAGAGAAAAGTGGAAAAGTCATTCTTGCATCATGTAATCAGGAAAAAACTAAGCCAGATGAGAATTCCCACTATATAGATCTAGGACTTCAAACAAATACAGGACAATTCTAAGACCTTGTACAAGCAGCAGACCATGCCTTTAATCTGTCATGAACAGACTGCACTACTGAAGTTTGCTTGTGTTAAGGCTATTCACATATGCTCTGGAACATGGATTTGTTGGTTTTGTTGCACAAATGTATCTGCCTGGTTGACTAACCAAAGGAATTTGATAGGAATAAAAAAAAAATTAAGACAACTGCCATGAGAGCAGACAATAGCAAGACAATAAAAATGGGACTGCATGAGCGAGAAAGGTCGATACATCTGTTTCAGAGAAAAATAATTCTACTCAACATGCAAAAGACAGGTATGGATGCAGCGAATATATTGTTTGAAACAGATTAGCCAAAGACAGTTGTGCTGTCAACCTTTACTTACCTTGGCAGCCCAATTGACCAGCCATGATGGTATCATGCCACCAGGATTATCAAAATAGTACATATAGACTAGAGATGAGAGAGAAGTTACCACAAAGTTATCCAGCCATGGTCTGAGTATTAGCTCTAACACCATACAACAGAAGCCATCAGTGTGCATGACTGAATCACCAAGGACTGCTCTAAATTCTTCACAAAAAGGTCAATTTGTACTGAAGTGGAATATGAAGTATAGCCATTCCCAATTAACCTCTGGGAAGCTAAGCATGCCATAATATTAACTTAGGCTACTGCAAACCATTTTAGGCAGCCTGTCTTATAAAATAAGGTGGTCTTTAAAGGACTAATTTCAGACAGGAGTCAATCTCTAGGCAAACCCTTTAATCTAGAAATCTGTCAAACATTGCACTTATATCATTGCCAACTTAACCAGATTGCAGCTAGCATCAGACTCTTACCAACTGAGCTGGCTGGCAGGAAAAGTGTGGGCTGGGGGCACAAAACAAAGTGGTCAGTAGTCTATTCTCAACTACCCAGCCCAACTGTCAAATAAGACTCTTAACAGTACCACACTGCACCGGATGTTTCCGAAAGTTTCATTCATTTTAAAGTACTCCTAGTGCTCAGTACATCTACTTTATAGGAACTGGTTTTAGCTTAACATTTCTAGTCTCCCTCTTTGTGCATTTTGCTAATACATACATTCTTTGGCTACATGACTTGTGATCACACTTTCTTGACCTCTTACCTTTAGATCCAGTCTTGCCATCACTTTCAATTGCCAGACTTTGTTTATAGCTTTTGACTCTGATAATACCAGGCTTTTCAGGGCACTGAGGAACAGACACACTTTGAGCTAAAACAACCCAGATCTTCCGCCCATCAATATCCATCTCTCGACATTCACGAACATAGACATACTGTATTCCAAGTTGAGGAGGCACGTCAAAACAGTGTCAGTTTGACATATGATGAATTGACAAGAGAATTCCATTACAAATAACCAGCCCCTTCAAGTTATTTCTTATGCCTCTACAGGATTCAATCCTGCAGAGTAATAATTCAGCAATGTGAGCTTCAGATGTGTGTGGGAAGAGGCACCCACACTCTTCTTCATGCTATACATATTCATGTAACATAAGGACTGCAAGATCTTAGAACAAGTGCAGCAGAGCAGTCAAATCAGCACATTGTTTGGATCCCTGGATGACCAAGTGACAAAAACTGCAAGAGGAGCAAAACGCTTGAAAGGATACATCTCTGTTGGAGAGAGGAAAAGGGTACTTCACTTCCCAGTAGATTACTTTTTCACCATCATATGTTTTCTCATACAGTTCTACAGTTGAAAAAGGAAGATTGTTAGACATTTTTAATCTCTACTGCAACAGAACAGATACATAGCATCAAGAACTGCTCAGATTTTTGACATGAACACATTTTACATGCAACCCTCATGTCGAAATTGATAATGTATATAAAGTTGTAGCAGTAGAAGAAGACATTAAAAAATGTTCTGTAACAGGGTTGTTCAGGAACCAAATACGCAAAAATAGGTGGCCTGTTTTTCTGCTGCTATTGAATTCATTAATACAAAAAAACCCACAAACCAAAAAACCCCAACAAAACCACAACCCCCCAAAAACCTTAAACCAGAACAATTCTGGGGGGAGGCAGAGTCAAATTCTTTTCCAGACAGTCAGCTCATTCAAAGCCTTTCCATCTCAAAGCTTCTTCCTCACCTATGCATATTCTGTATAATTCTGAGCCACAAGTACAGTATGCTTTTTCACAAGCATGTCATTATCCTTGTAAATGACTCTGAGTTAACATGGAACTAGGACAAGTACTGCTCTCTAATACCTGAAGGGGTCTTACGTGAGGGATTAATGAAGTTTGGAAAAGCTGCTAGGAATTTCACAGCAGTATATACAGGCAACAGCGAACAAGAAGCTTGAGTACTTTATGAACCTTCATTACACCACCTTCACTCTGCCTAGAAACTCAATCAGAAAGCAGCTGAATAGGAAAAAAAAAAAAATCTAAGAATAGTCCCTAAAACATAGCAGTGACTCAGAGTAGTGTGGCATGAAGGAGAAAAATTAGTTCAAATCTAACTACACAACTGAGTTTGAAAAACTGTCTACTGTGTGGCTTCTTCCCTCGAGGCAGTAACTGCTATTATCAGGGTAATGGACCTGGCAAGCCATAGGGCTGAGCCAGGGTGAGTTCCCATCTGCTCAGGGACCGGTCATTACATGGGTGCAGTTAAAATCCAGAAAGGTGGTTCACATGAACAGCCAGAGTGGCCTTTTCCTGCTTTAGAGCAGACTGAGGTGCTACATATCCTTCAGAGCTAATGCCAGTCTGCCACATCACTTTCAGCAGTTTTGAAAACCAGGCTAGAACAGACCGATAATC